CCCTCTCCTAGATCCTGGCCGACGAGCTCGCCGTGAGTCTGTGAGAATGTGTGTAGTGTGGTCTCCCCCCCCCCTCCCCCCCCCGCCGAACCCGCCCAACCCACCCACCCACCCACCCCTCCCTCTCCTAGATCCTGGCCGACGAGCTCGCCGTGAGTCTGTGAGAATGTGTGTAGTGTGGTCTCGATTCCTCTGTGTGTGTGTTTGTGTGTGTGTGTGTGTATTTCTGTGTTCGGTTTGGTGTTTGCGTGTCCGAGATTTTTAATTTTTTTTTGTACAAAAAAAAAAAATCTCAAGAAAGAAAAAAAAACGGTTCTGTCTATGACATTGTCTGATTGTTCAAACGTTTTTTTCTTTTTTTTCTTTTTTTTTTCAAAGGACATATTTGACATAAGTAAATGCATATATCCATCCAATCGACGTGTAGCTATCTAAACTTCTAAAGGCAGATAGAGCCTCGCTCACTACTCTCCACATGCACAAAAGACAAAAAATATGACGGTGTATCTTCCTACGTTCTAGCGGAGGATTCATTCTCATTTTGCACATTTGGAAAGTAGTGGAACTAGGCCCATATTTACGGTTACGTACATATATAATTTGACATAATACTATGACAATATGTGTACATGCTGATGCCTGTGAAAATATGTGAGGAGAGAGAAAAATGTACATATAGCTGTCCCCCTGGGCGCAAGTCCCACTGGCAAAGAGGATAGGATCAAACTCGTGAATCTGGACGTGTTATGTTCGGGGATGCAGAAAGCCAGTGCAATCTCGATTTCCTGCACGTCTCCACGAACACGTCCAGATTCAAGTATTCGATCCGATCCCGGTAAGTGCCCCCCGTTAAAAAACGTGTAAAGAAGACAGCTTTGGGAAAAAAACGGACAATTTGCAAAATACCCCCATGAGTTGAGATATGTGCCAAAACGCCCCTGAAAGATGTGGGTAGAGAGAAATGCCCCTCTGACAAAAAGAAAATTTGTGAAATACCCCTCCCTTCGGTTGGACCCCCCCATCTTTGTGATATACCCCTACCGTGTACCATCCAACTTTGCAGAATACCCTAAGGGCCTAAACTTGCCAACTTTCCCAAGGCGCAGTTGCAAAAGGCCAAGGCCCAAACAGCAAGGTCCCCATTGCAAATTTGCACACCCCCCTGACAGGAGCATAACACAAGGATTTCGGCCCAAAAGGGCATTCCGCTCTACCCACACCTTTCAGGGGCATTTTGGCATATGTCTCACCTTATGGGGGTAATTCGCAAATTATTCCTAAAAAAAGTATAATAATAAAAAAAAGAAATGATGATCTTCAGATTCTTCACCAGCGCGTCTCAGTTGGTACACCCATGAGCCGTTGAAATGCAGACCCAAGTTCGAATCCTGATGGCACCAGGGGCCATGTCCCACTTGTCGAGGTTCAGTTCTGGTTTTGAGATCCCTGCCATCCGATCTGAAAATCTCACGGCCACAGTGTGACCAAGTTGAAAAATACACGAAACATAAACAAACTAAACTGCCGCTAATGGGACACGGCCCTAGATGAACATAATAAATGCTCATCTATTATCTGTTGTCTTATAGGTTCCAGTACTTTGGAGACACTTTTCTCCGGGGCAGGGAACTCCCTGTGCAGTGTGCGCCAAAGAAAAACGAACCAAAGTGGGCCTCCTTTTGGTTGGCGCCGCCAGCCGTTTTGCTCCCATGGGCGAGCCCTAAAAGTTGCGGCACCATTCAAGCCGCAACTTTGCGAACATAGCTGGGAAACATACTGGTGGTTTAAACAACCAGAACTTGGCTTAGCTATTGGCCGCGCAAAAAAATAGAGTAGAAGCGTTTCTGGTTGGATGAATTTGGGCGCTCCTGTAGTGGCCCGTATGTTTCCTAAAATCGTGGTTTGTTACCACCTTCGTGGTTGTCTAGCGTCGAGAGATTAACCCCTCAAGGCGTGTGTCAACTGACACTTGAGTGGCGAACGCAACCCTTGGGACCATTGAGAACCGCACGATCATGGGTACTAGATAGTACTCCATCATTGCGACTGCTTTCATATTCGTGCATGGCTAGTCGATACGAGAGAGCCC